GAAATAATAAATAACTCTTGATTTCATTCCCTTTTTAAAATTTACTTAATTTTTTAAAATGTTTTAAATTTTATTTATATTTTATATGGATGAGAGTTTTGTCTTCATGTAAGTGCATCTGTGCATGCAATGCCTGTGGAAGCCAGAAGAGGGCAGTGGATTCCCTGGACATGGAGTTAAGGATGGAACAACCAGTGCTCTTAACTGCTGAGCCATCTCTCCAGCCCCTACTTATTTATTTTTATGTGTATGAGTATTTTGCCTACATGTTTGTAAGCGCACCCAATGCCCTGAGAGGCCAAAATAGGGCACTGGATCCCATGGAACTAGAGTCAAAGACGTTGTTAGCGGTCATGTGGGTGCTGGGAACAGAACCTGGGACCTCTGCAAGAGTAACCAGTGCTCTTAACTGCTGAGCCAATTCCTTGATTTCTTTTTAAAATTACATTTATTTATTGGGGGGGGAGATGTCCATGCCACAGAGCACATATGGAGGTCAGAGGACAACTTGCGGGAGTTGGTTCTCTCCTTCCAGCACATGGGTCCCAGGGATTGAACTTGGGTCATCAGGCTTGGTAGCAAGTTCCTTTACCCACTGAGCCATCTTGTCAGGATGATTTATTTTCTTCCTTCCTTCCTTCCTTCCTTCCTTCCTTCCTTCCTTTCTTTCTTTCTTTTTTCTTTTTTTTTTTTTTTTTTTTTTTGTCTTTCTGAGACAGTCTCCCTGTAGCCCCAGCTGCCTGGAACTCACAGAGATCTACCTGCCCCTGTCTCCTGAGTGCTAGGATTAAAGGCATACACCACCACCACACCTGGCTGATTTCATTTTCTCATTTCTACTTTGAACTATTTAAACCTTGTTCTTGCTTGGTGTGCTAGTTCATGCCTGTAATGCCAGCACTCAGGAAGATTGTGAGTATAGGGCCAGCATGGGATACATAGTGAAACTCTATTTCAAGAAAAAAAAATTCTGGAGCTGCCAAGATAACTCAGCAGGTAAAAGCACTTATCATACAAGCCTGACAACTGAAGTTCAGTCCCTGGAACCCACATAAAGGTGGAAGGAGAATGGACTCAGCAACGTTGGTCTCTGCCCTTCACATCCATGCCATGGTATACACCCTACACATATACACCAGACATAGATACACAAAAATAAGTAAAACAAATTTTAAAAAAGTGCAATAACAATAGATAGACCCACAAAACTATTTTAGCAATGGGGAGAGGTTGGTTTTCTGGCCTAGAACTTACCCACCTCTGCCTCCTGAGTGCTGACATTAAAGATGCACACCACCATGCCTGGCTTGTTTGGTTTTTGAGACAAGGTGTCCGGTATCTGAGGCTAGCTTTGAACTCCTATATAGCCAAGGATGATCTCGAACTTCTAAGCTTACTGCTTCCGTTCCCCAGTGCAAGGGTTTCAAGTGTGTGCCACCACACAGTTTTTATACATTGGTGGGTCTCAAAATCGGGACTTCCTACATGCTAGGCAGGCAGTCTACCAACTGAGCCACATCCCTAGCTATTTCATAATGACTCCTACTTAAAGTCAAGCTAGGCTTGGTAGCAACACTTTTAATTCCAGCACTCAGGAGGCAGAGGCAGGTGGATTTCTGTGGTTCCAAGCCAACCTGGACTACATAACGAGTTCCAGGCCAGCCAGGGCTACACAATGAGACCCTGTCTCAAAAACTAAAAGAACAAACGTGCTGAAACTAATCCAAGGACTAAGTTTTGGGATAAGCACAATTGTGTAATGAATTGAAGATCATATAGCAAATGAAAAGGTGAGTTTTAGCATTTAGAATCCAAAGCAGGGGTAGGCAGATGGCTTAGCAGGTAAAGGTGCTTGTTGCTGAGACAGATGTACCTGAGTTTGATTCCTGGGACCCAAATGGTAGAAGAAAATCAACTTCCTCAAGTTGTCCTTTGATTTCCATGCATACACTGTGGTGCCCAAGGGTGCACACACACACACACACACACACACACACACACACTTTAATAATATAATAAAAAGCACCCTAAATA